GGCGGGCTGAGCCTGCGGGCAAGTCCAGGTTCAAGGCCCCTGTGCCTCCCCAGGGAACTTTTTGTTCTTTGGCTGCCGCCGGCGGGACCAGGACTTCTACTGGGAGGCTGAGTGGACGGAGCTGGAGAAGAGGGGCTGCCTGACCCTGGTCACAGCCTTCTCCCGGGAGCAGGTGGGTGTATGTGGGGGGGGGGTTGGGGAAGGACAGCGGGTGCAGACTCACCTGCCCTGCCTTGTCCTGTCCTGTAGGAGAAAAAGGTATATGTGCAGCACCGGCTCCGGGAGCTCGGGCCACTGGTGTGGGAGCTGCTGGACCACCGAGGCGCCTGCTTCTACCTGGCAGGGTGAGCCTGAGCTTGAGGGGCGGGGGGCAGACACCAGCCCACTGGGGTCCAGACCGCACTGAGCCCTGTCTGCCCTGTCCCCCCAGCAATGCCAAGTACATGCCAGCAGACGTGTCGGAAGCCCTGACGTCCATCTTCCAGGAGGAGGGCGGGCTCTCTGGCCCTGAGGCTGCTGCCTACCTGGCCCAGCTGCAGCGCGCCCTGCGCTTCCAAATGGAGACATGGGCCTGAGGAGCTGCCTGCCACCGCCACCACTCGGACCGCTGCCCTGTCTGACCCCAGGCGGGAAAATGGCCGGCTCCTACGTAGAGCCACACGCCATCCCCCCAGGGTCCACACTCAGCCCTGGTCCCTGGCTCCAGCTGGCCTTTCCCCACTGGCCCCAACTTAGGTCCTGCCCACAGTGGACCAAGAAGGCACCATAGCCTGAGGGACATCAGGGAGCCTCCCCAATCACCAACTTCCAGACAGCATAGGAATCGGGGTTCAGGGTCCCTGGGAAGGTCAGGGTCCCCCTCCTCTGTCCTGGTGACAGTGGGCTCCCAGTCATTCTCTGCCATGTGCCACACCAGCCACCAAGGGCCCCCAGGGCTCCATGGGACTCAGGGTCAAAGGCAGCGAGGCCCCGGCCAGCACATGCCACCCTCACCTGGTTCCAGAAGCCTCAGCAATAAATCACGGGCTTAGGTGGCTGCTTCCCGACATCTTCCTCGTGCTGTTCTGGTGCCTCAGGTGGGGTGGGGCCACAGCGCCTGGGGATGGGCACAGCCTGCCCATGGTGGGGACGTGGGCCCTTGCTCAGCCACCTTGGCTGTAACATTTTGGTGTCTCTCACGTGGGGGGTGCCAGCTGTTTGCCCACTTTGTATAGGCATCCCCCTGGCTCTGACAGGGCAGGGGGCAACCTAGAGGACCCAGAAAGGAAGGGTGTAGAGAGTGCCCAGCCAGGCTGGTGGGACCATTCCTCCAGCCCTGGGAGCAGCAGCCTAAGGCCCAGGGGGAAGGGGGCGTGGTCCAAGAACACGGAG